TGGGCAGTGCTCAATGCTCAGTTAACGCAGCTTAGCGAAGCTCTGCGACTTCGTTTCGCAATCTCAATGCAATTGTCTGGCTTTTGGCCATATTGTCGCCTCATTTTAGGTGCGAGCGGAGCCAGGCAGCGATTCCTTTTACCAATGCTAATGCCACAGCTAGCCCTGGCCATGGGCCAACTAAAGTGTCCTGCTGTGTGCGTGTGTGTGTGTGCGTGCGTGTGTGTGTGTATCTGTGCTTCTCTATTTGCGCACAATAAAACATGTGACTCACTTGAGTTATGCGCCACATTAACTTGCACAAGTCTTAAGTGGCTTTTAACCTTATTTCGTTTCCGTTTCTACGCTGCAGCTTTCCGCAGTGCGATGCCACACGGTTTTTGGTTGAAGGGTCGCTGCAACGGCTCCTTAGAGAGCTAACCGAGCCGAATATGTAATGCACTTAATTTTCTGGAAATATAAATGAGCCTCAATTTGTTTCCAGCCAAGTGAAAGGAAATGTTCTCAAAGCAAATGAAGTCAAGCATTGATGGCTTTAGAAGAACTTGAAACTCTAATGTTATTTTTTATAAATCTGTAAGCTTTTATTTCAAATATAAACCAAATCTCTGAGCCTGCTAAAAATGAATTATCAAACAGCTTAAGCAAGCTCCAACCAAACCTTTGACTCATTCGCCTCAAATATATATGAAAAAGGCTTAAGTATTTCTCTGTGTTTTACCATTGCCCATTATCAAAAGGCCAGCAGCTTATAGCCCATGTTACGGACACAACAAAATCAAAGTTACCCACAAGCCATAGGTAAGCTGTTTTATATTTAGCTGGGCGGAGCGGGCGTGCCTCTTTAGCTAAGTGCCCAGGCATTGCGCTAGTTTTATTCTCTCACTCTCTCTCTCTATCTAGCTATTTGTGTGTGTGTGTGTGTGTGTGTGTGTGGATGACACACATGCGAAACTTAAGTTTTGAGCCGCCTACAAAGCAAAGCAACATTGTGGCAACTGTCAGGGGCATGTGCGCCAGAGAGAGAGAGAGAGAGAGATTTCATGAGCCAAGCCCAAAGCTGGCAACAAAGAAACTCGCAATTTAAGGCTATTATCGCATTAAACTCGCAAAGCAGCGCCGTCTCATTAAAAATTCGCAACTTACTGAAGCGTGGAGTAGGCATTAAAGTCATCGTTGGGATGGGCGATGTCTGATCGGCAGATGGGCAGATGGGCGAGCAGGCGCTCAAAGCCGCAAATGGCAAATCAAATTAGCTAATTGATTTGTTATCAATTGCGGTTGACTTTAGCGAAAAGTTTGTAAGCCAACTTAAAGTGGGTAAGTTGAAGCTGCCAAAAGCCAACAAGTAGTTCATAATAAAGCGATTTAGTGGCTCGCCATAAAATTGACAGAGACAGTCAGGCGGGTAGCCAGAGAGGGTGAGAGGAGCGAGGGGCGGCACGCACGCATGCCAGGCACGAAGGCAGCTGCGTGTTCGAGCCGCATAAAATCCCCAAACAAGCATGTGTGCGTAATGATTATATCCTTGCCAGCATGCGTATGTGTGTGTGTGTGTGTGTGTGTGTGTTTGCCTTGTGGCATATTAAACAATAATATTTGCACGCGAGTGCGTCAAAAACAAAATCCAGCACCAGCTCCAGTTCCACCTCCACCTCCACCTCCAGCTCCAGCTCGAGCCTGGCCGTGACTACAAACATCTAATTGCCAAATGGAACTTTCCTATTTTGGTCCTTTTTTGTTGCTTTCGGTGAGCCATTTGGCAGCCAATTCACGTGCAACTAGGTTAATACAACTGCACGAAAAACAAGAGCATTATTTTTGGACTGCTCCATTGGTTCACAGCTATTTAGCCGTCAAATGTTTGCATATTATTTGCCGGCCAGCGCCAATTGCCAGATTAGGGCACTTAGTGGCACCCACCAGACCACACCCACCACGCCCCACAATATTCAAATGAGGCGAGAGAAAGTGGGGAAATTGAATTTGTAAACAGGCAACAGAGACAAGCGAGCTACTAACTGTCGCCTTGCATTTGTTACGCTACGCTTACGTGGCGTATACTTAACGCCGCCGTGAGTGGCTGCAAATAACAAGGTGATAAATTCCCCACGCCGGTAATTAATGTGCACAGTATAAATTGGCTTAAATGCTCCAAATTAATGTTTACTTTTTTTTTTTTAGAGAGAGAGAGGGGGAGAGAGAGAGAGGGAGAGCACATTAAATAAAGAAAAAACTTTCGCTCCTCATTTCACACATTTATCGCCAATTTGATTAGATAATAAAAGCCGCGACGCAGCCCGGGCATAAAAGACAAATTCAACAAATGGGCAATTTGATGTGTCGCTTTGTTAGCTGCACGCACACACATTAACTTTTTCAATTAAGCTGTCGATCAGAGAGTGACACAAACCCAGACACGCACACACACACACAGACAGTGTTACACTTACATTGAAGTCAATAAATATCAATCAAACTTTGTTTGGGCAGGTGAGCTGTGAGAATTATCAATCAATTTTACGCTGCTGCGATTAAACTCACAAATAAAATATTTTAATTTAAATTTTATTTATTTTAATCTCTGAAACATATTAAGTTCATTCCAAGCATTAACTTTAGAAAACTGGAATATATTTAATTTAGAGATTAAAATATAAATTTTAGTTAAACTATCAAGCAATTCTAGGCTCACATTTCAATGAGCCTTGAACTGTTGGCAGGTTCGAACACTTTATCACTTGACTTCAAACTGAAACTTTAGCCAAGTTACAGTTATCTAACTTTTAAAGATTAAAATTAAAAGTTAAAAAAAAAAAAAAAAAATTATCAAACAATTTTGCGCTTCTGCGATGAAGTTCACATTTCAAATAAGCTGTGAGCTGCTGGCAGAGTCAACCGTTTAAAGAATTTTAGACTCGAAAGTTCAGCTTTATCTAAATTCATTTTATCTAATCTTCAAAGTTAAGAGTTTGCCGTTTCTCTCACATTCAATTTGAATTCGTGCTCAGACGCCCAAGACTCTGCATAAATCTAAATTTTAATTTACGATTTCTTTACACACACACACACACACACACTGAACACCACTACATATCATGGCAGCATCATAAATTGCAACCGAAAAATCAATTTCCATTTAATGCGGAAATCCCTGAGAATTTCGTGGAGAACCGCAACAGCTGCGGCGCCCACTTGGCTGCTCGCATTTTTGTGCTCACAGGAAATTAGAAATCAATTTTTATCACTTACGCACAGATTCGATTCGCCAGCTGAAGAGCTCAAACCCGGTGCACCGTCGTCAACTAAATCACATCAAGTGCGAAACAATTTTGCAACGTAGTTTATTTGCGTGCCGCTGCAAACAGCTGCTGATATCATTTGCCAGCTGCAATTTGACAGCTGCTTCTGGCTGCAGCAGCAATTCGCTGGCAATGCGCAACAAATGGCCCGCCCCCACACTACCCCCACCCCATTGTCAACCCGCTCTATACCCTTCCAGCCCCCACTAGTCGACAGCTGTTTAATGCTTCTGCTGCTGCTGCTGTTGCTGCTGCGGGAATATCAAAAGTTAGGCCAGGTACAGGCAGGCAGACAGACAGAGGGACAGAATGGCAGGCAGACGCCCTGCGAGAAAATGGAAAAACTTTCGCACGTATAACATCGACTTTGACTTGTTTTCTTTCTCTCTTTTATTTTTTGTCCATGCAATTTCTGTTACTTTTCTGCAGCGTGCGCTCTTTTCTGATGACTTGTACGCAAGGCTAAAAGGAGTTGCTCAGTTCACATGCAATTTATAGAGCTATAGAATCCATATAACCAAAGATATTTATAGTTTCTCTTTCTAAATGCAAGCCTCTGTCCTATTTTCTTTTCTTAAATTTTTCCCTGTCTTAAGTGAACAGAGTATTACGCAGTCAGTCTTCATTTGTATATATGTATGTATGTATATTTATTTTTACTGCAGAGCTGTGGTTGAAACGTTGTATTCAATTTGTTTTGGCAACAGCTTGGCACAAGTTCTATTAAATAATAAAGTCGATTCGCACATTGTTCACAACAGCAAATAACAACAACAACAACAACAACAACAATAACTAGCAATAGGTAGCGGGGAATTCCATTGGATTTTGGCTGCTTTTTCGCATTGTTATTCAACGCAAAAGCGTTGCAAGTTTGGTCCTGAATCCAATCATTGCCAAAACTTCTTTAAATGCAAATTTAAGCAGCAGTTGACTTTAATAAATATTTCTATTGAAATTCTAGAGAGTTGCTCATATTTCTTTGTTTTAATGATGCGGGAAATATGAGGTTAAATAAAAGACTGTTATGAAAAGGAGTTCAATGAATAATTTAAAGGAAACTTAAATTTTAAAATTCAATTTTGGTGAATCACATAAGTGAATCATCGACTCGTAACAAAATATATTTCATCAACTGATTCGATTCACATTTATAGAGCAACACACCCTAAATTCAAGGTATACTGAGCAAATAGGTTTAAAGCTGCAGCCTGGCAGTTCGTATATACATACATATATACGCATGTATATTTAATTAACATTTTTTTAGCTGGCATCAAAAATATGATTTTGATCCATTTGGCAGGCGGCTAAAATAAAACGAATGCCGAAAACCATTTGCAACATGCCGAATGCCCGCTAAGACTTTGGATCCGGCTTCCGTGGCGGTTATAAAAGCCAGTGCCATATGCGCGTCAGTTAGCTTTATGGCTGCTCCCGGCTAAAATACACATAAACAAGCAGACTCCCACATATACACACACACACAAGCAATTTAATTAAAATTAATGTATGTATTTTCTGCTTCTTCTCTCTTTTTTTTTTCTACTTGATGCTGCTCCTGTTGCCGGCGCTCTTCATATTTCGGCTGCTGTTGCATGCGGCCGCCCACTCCTCTCTCTCTCTCTCTCTCTCTCTCTTTCTCTTTCGTCTGACATTTTGATGGCTAAAAACAACAACAACAATAACAACGTGCAGAAAAAAGGCCATGGTCAACATGGAGGGACAATTTCTGGTGCGTCAAATTTACGATGACGAAATAACATACAATCTAATTGGAGCAGCTGTTGAGATACTCAGTAAGTAGCTGACGAGGGGCACTTAGCTGGTTATTACTGTAGTTGGTGCCACATAAAACACGGCTCATATCACGCCCCAGCCACACTCATGTTGTATATATTTATTTTTATATGCCCCATACAGAAATACCTGCCGATGATATATTGGAGCTCTTTGGCAAAACATTCTTTGAGTTCTGCCAGGACTCGGGCTATGATAAGATACTGCAAGTGCTGGGCGCTACGCCGCGCGACTTTCTACAGGTGAGCTATGCTGCACTGAACTGCAGTCAAGCCTGGCCATAGAGAACGTCAAGAAGTGATCTCAACAGAGTTGAGCTGCTGCTCTATAAACACTTTGCATAATTAAAAATGAAAATACTTGACGTTTGCTTTGGTCAAGGCTTGGCCTACGTTTGGCCTGCCTACATGTAATTAAAGCACCATTTTCGCATTTAACGCTCATTTCACATGCATCACACACACAGCATCTCATTCAAGAGCCAATGCCGCCCTCGCCCACCTGCCCGCCCATTGCCAGTGCGTTTGCTGGTGCCAATTTCGATGCAAGTCATTTTTCATGTTGCCATCCAGTTGCTGCTCGCTTTTAGTCGCATTGATAAGCATTATTTTGCTTCGCTGCACCTAGACTGTGTGAGAGCGAGATAGAACACACACACACACATATATATACTACTGTAGCTCGTTTGGGGTGTGGCCTGGCCTTTTGTTGCACTCACATTCGATTTATTTTCAATTTTCCACACTTTTCACCGCACCATCAACGGCGCACATCATCAGGCGTCCTCGTCATCCATCTGAGCCCCATTCCTTAGTCATAATGAAAAATGAAATTGAATTTTTGCTGCATTTTCATGGGAAAACATTTGTAAAAACAACAACAACAACAACAATTTTATGGCCTGCATATAGAACCTAGATGCATTGCACGACCATTTGGGCACCCTGTATCCAGGCATGAGAGCGCCTTCGTTTCGCTGCACGGAACAGGACGGCGAGCTGCTGCTGCATTATTACTCGGAACGGCCTGGCCTCGAGCACATTGTCATCGGCATCGTGAAGGTAAAGGAAGGGGCTGGTCAGCCACCTGCGCTGACACCTGCGCTCACGAAGTTAACCCGCCGCATTATCTCTTACAGGCCGTCGCATCGAAGCTGCACGGCGTCGAGGTGGAAATTGACATTGTGAAGCGCAAGGGCGAGCCCATCGACGAGGCCGAGAAGGAGCGCGCCCTGGCACGCGAGCAGCAACAATTGGACACTGAGACGACAGCTGGCGGATCCGATGAGGCGGCAGCAGATGCTGCTGCAGCAGCCGCCCAACTGTCAGCCGAACACAATAATAATCACAATGCCAACAACAACAATGCCAGCAGCAGCGGCACCAACAACATCAACAACAACAACGACGCTCAGCAAATTGCCATTGAGCCGGGTAAGCGAGGCGCAACTATTCAGGCCAGCAAATTGCTCTGGGCTCATTACGTACACTATTAGCAGCGGGTATAATGGACTAGCGCGTTCAATATGCCGCAATTAATGGCTATGGGATGTTGTCTGTAAATTACACTTTGGCCAAAGTCAGCAAAAGCAAAACTCTTTGAAGCTTAGCCAGCCGCAGGCAGTGTCTCTGACTAAGTCGATTAAGGACTAGAGATGGCCTCGTGAGAAGCGAGACTGAGGTCAATATAATAGATTTAATATTAGATTTTCAGCTAAGAATTTTATTTTGAATTGCTTAGAGGCAAATTGAGAACAGGATTAAGTTATAAAATATTTTAGTTCCCATCGTTTCGTATCGCGACTATACTTGCTCATCTCTAGAAGTGAATATTCATAGATGTCCAATTCATATATTATCTAGCGGAAATGGATTAGAGCAAACCCCTAGAGATGGTCTCTTCATCTCTTCCAGATTAAATATGATAATATTATCGGTTTAATATGAGATTTACAAGTTCCAATTTCCTTTGACTTACAATCGGTGATTAACTGAAGGGGATTGAATATTAAATATATTAAGACATCCGCGAAGACCACACAAAGTCTCTCGAGTTTTTCAGATGACAGACGACAATATTATCGATTTATCGATTTGTAAATATATTACCTATAAGCATATTTAGCCCTGGGTAAGCTAAGCGCATATTTAAGCTCACATTCCTTCGTGTCACGACAGTTTTTGCTCATCTCTAGTATCATATATAACATATATATATTGCCTGCTTCTTCTTTGCCATTGCTATTAATCTTCAATTGTAATGGCCCCAACCATTGCACAATCCACAGCTGGCGAGCAATTGCCGGCCACATCGAAGGCCACAGGCGGCGCGACATGTGGCCCACTCGTGCAGGATAGCTTCGATTGCGACGGCGACAAGGAGCAGAAGTGCCTGCGTCTGCTGAAGAACAAGAGCGACGACATCGAGCGCTATGACCACGTCCAGTTTCTGATACGCGAGATCAATGTGGCTGCCAAGTCGCAGGTCGATGCCAAGAAGGATGAACAGGCGGTCATCGATGATATGGAGTTTCTGTGCGAAGGTAACACGAAAAGCGCTTTCTATTAATTTGGCTAATTGCCAGGCTAATCGGTTGAAACCCTTTTGCCCAACAGCGCCCCTCATCTCGCCGGCGACTTTCTGCAAGGTGTTCCCCTTCCACCTGATGTTCGATAGACAAATGAAAATCGTGCAGGCCGGCAAGGCCGTATCCCGCGTTATACCCAGGTGAGTTAAGGACTAATGGACGCTGGCCAGGTAGCTCCACAGCCAGCACAGGGCTTTGTCATGTTTGCGATTGGCCATTATGAGCGACCTTCTACCTTCCTCTTCTTCTTGTTCGCCGCAGAGTGGCCGAGGAGAACTGCTCGCTAATAGAGGTAGTGGAGGCCATTAGACCGCACCTGCAGCTAACATTCGAGAACATTCTATCGCACATAAACACCATCTATGTGCTCCAGACGAGGCAGGGCGCCATGAGCAGCCGGCTCGAGCAGCGCTTTCTGAGACTAAAGGTAAGCTGTGCTTTGATTTGCCAAAGCAAACTGTTCTCTCTCTCTGTCTCCCTCTCCCTCTCTCACTATGTGTTCCTCTTTAGTCAACCACATTTCAATATGCGGTCACACACACACACACATACATGTATATATCACATAATGAATAAGCAAAATGGCCGCTTAAGCGCAGCCGCTGCCGCCATTGGAATTGAAACTGAAATTGCTTTGCATTAAATTTAATGCGGCTTGCCGCAAAAGCATTGCATTAAACTCAATTTTACGATAATTGTTTTGTTTTTGGTTCACATTTTTACTGAGCTTCTTCTCCGTTTCTCTTCTGTCATATTCCAGGGACAAATGATGTATATACCCGAAACGGATCGCATACTGTTTCAGTGCTATCCGAGCGTCATGAATTTGGATGATCTAACCAAGTGAGTAGTAGTAGCAATAAATAAATAAAAATATAAATTTTAAGACAATTGCCATTTATATTTGCAATGAAATGGAAAACGAAACTAGTAAAGTTTTTGTAGTCGGGCGCTATAAAGTGCAATTGAATCTGTTTTGGCAAAGAAATACGCAGAAACTCAAGTAAACATTGCATGATATAGTATTATAGATTTTCCATACCTATGTGAGGAAATTTTTATCTCTTTAATACTCATACACGAAAGTGAAATGGGTATATGGGATTTTAAAAGTATATAAATGAAACGTAAATCCTGCAAATAACATTTCCCGATTTGCCACACCTCTAACAAGTGCATCAGAATAATTGCATGAGTTTACCAGACCAGAGTATATATTGCATTTTTCAAATATCTTGCTTCATTAGCGAGCAATGGCTTATAGACAACCGGACGGACAGCAGAACGGATAATACACAAACTTGTTCCATGGATGAGTAACAAAACTGATTCAAGTCATTTCATAACTTACTATTCCTGCTCCCAACTAATAATGTACACAAATTTTCCAATTGAATGCACAGAAATGTGTATTGTAATCAATGATTACGACAGCAACAATTCCATGAGCTACTCCTATACCAAAACAACCAGCCAGATAGGACTCTCTCTCTCTCTCTTTCTCTCTCTCTCTCTCTTTCTTTCTTACTAAAATTCCTATCGTTCTATATGCAAACTCATAAATGTTTGCTTCGCTCTTCTATTGTTTATAGCTTTTCTATAAGCGATTTCTCCGAAAAAAAAAAAAAAAAAAAAAACATAATCCCAAATGAATATAGACATTGTGCCAGATAATCTCATGACAGATCTTTTGCTATCTGTTGTGCATTAAAATTACTTAAAGCATAACAATTTACATTTGTTTATTTAAATGTAGATTTATAGAGCAGCTGCTGGCACTTTACGGCCCGTTGTTTATTATTTGCGCCTCGAAATTGAAAGAAATGGCAAATATTTCGCTTAAATTTATTGGTGACAGCAAATATGTATTGCCACCTGACTATAAGCCCGGTCATACATACACACACACACACACACGTGCGCACTCCCCCTTCTTAGACGCAGCGATTTTTTATTTTATTTACCAACATTCCAGCTGAAGCCAAGTAAAATCCAAATAGACTTAAGTTATATAAAAGGCGCGTCATTTTTTTTTTGGTAATTCCACTCACCCCTACAACAACAAAAACATCATTTATTACAGGAAGGGACTCTACATCTCGGATGTGCCGCTGCACGATGCGGCCAGAGATTTGGTGCTGCTTTCCGAGAAATTCGAGGCGGAGTACAAGCTGACCAAGAACCTGGAAATGCTGACGGATAAGCTACAGCAAACGTTTCGCGATCTGGAGAGCGAGAAGCAGAAGACGGACAGGTGAGAGGGGAAGCGATGCCAAAGTGTAACACAAATAGAAACACATTAGCAAAGAGCGCTCAGAAAAAAAGAAGAAAAAAAAACACGAACAAATCGTTGCATGCTTTCAGGCGCGAAATTAAAATTACTCGAACATTTTCTTTCCATTTGTTTGTCATTTGTTGCCGTTGGTATTTCTGCCGCCCCTGCTGCTCTGATGTTCTTCGCCAGGCTGCTCTACTCGGTGCTGCCCAAGTCGGTGGCAAATGAGTTACGACATCAGCGTCCAGTGCCGCCCAAACGGTAAGCCAAGAAGCCCCAACCCGACGATTACCCACCCAGGCTGGGCTCGTGTCGTGCCGCATGATATGAAGGTTTTATGAAGAAGAACTGAGTATGAAATTTATAGGCTAGCTAAGCAGCACTTGTATTTATTGAAAATACGACACTAAGCAGGCTATATAAGTTATTGGCTTGTCCTTTCACCTTTGACAAGTGCGTGTTAGCAACCGATATTTGGTAACACGCATTCAAATGCGTTAATAAATTAATAATTATTGACATAAAAACTGACACGAGTCAACACGATTCATAAACAGAGTCACGAATGTATAGCGGATTCGTAATAGTCAGGTAAAGTCTGTGTTTAATCAAATGTATATTGTATTAATCTTCGATTAATATGCATAGTACAAATATATACACATACATGTATGTGTCAGGCAAAATGTGTCTCTAATCAAATGTAATTCAGATCAACATATCAAATCTAAACGCAAATCGGATCAATTGTGTTAATATACCAAGCATATACAAAATCGTGTCACGACTCAGCTCAACACGCACTCATTAACCTAAATAGAACTGGTGGATAGATAAGTCATCTAGAACGCCTCAGCACGACACGCAGCCAGCTCTAAGGCTCAACCCGGAGCTGTCAATGGCCGCAAAGCATTCGCAATGTGCGCAATTTATTTAATGCTTCTATTTATTTTGACAGCTACGACTCCGTAACGCTGATGTTCTCCGGCATTGTGGGCTTTGGCCAATACTGCGCGGCCAACACGGATCCCGAGGGCGCCATGAAAATTGTGAAAATGCTCAACGAGCTCTACACAGTCTTCGATGCGCTGACCGACTCCAAGCGCAACCTGAACGTCTACAAGGTGAGTGCCATTAAATATATGTATATATAGCTATAGCTATATCTATACTATACATGTAGATGTATATTTGATAAAAATCCACTGAATGCACTCGCCTCAATGCGTCTCTAATGGCTGTCAAAACGTGGCCATCAACCTGACATTTAATTACATTTTTTTGTGCTCGGCCGCAGAGTGTTTGCAAAATTGAACCGGGTCAAGCAATTTGCCAGCTCGCTTTTAGGTCAGCTGTCAATTTGCCTGGCAGCCGCTTGAATATCTATTTTCACCACTAACACACACATGCACACACACACTCACACGTTTATCTGTGTGCATTATTTACTTGCCAGGTGGAAACTGTGGGCGACAAGTACATGGCCGTCTCGGGGCTGCCAGATCATTGCGAGGATCATGCCAAGTGCATGGCACGCGTAGCTCTCGACATGATGGACATGGCCAAGAACGTCAAAATGGGCTCGAATCCAGTGGTAAGTGTGAGGAGAGCCAAGCTCAGTAAATATTTAAATAGCAACCAGTTGAATATATTCTGTTTGTATGTTATCTGATGATGATGATTAAATTATAAATTATATATAAATTATTGTACCTATAAGCCACACAGATATTTAGCCAAATTCTAGTCACTTCCTTTGATTTTGATATGTAGTCAATGTAATTTATTATCGAAAATCAACCATGAAAATGTGTCGACCTAATGGAAGTTTGCATTCTCCCTGTAATTAATGCGTCACAAATATGTCAGCTTTATGTAGGAAATAATTCTGTGGATGTAATTTGATATTTGAAATATGATTTGAATTGCATGCAGTTGAGGTCGATTAATAACTCTTTAGTTGGTAACAAGTTTGGGTTATTTACAGCGCTGTCTGCTGTCTGCTGCACACTCGAGGCGCGACAATATTAAATGAATGCTGCAAATTGTATGCACAACTAATGTACAACTTTGTCAAGTGGCAGCACGGGCCGTGGCAGTAACAGAGACAAAGATAGAAACAGAGAGCAAGAGAGAGAAAGAGAGAGAGAGTTGCCAGTTGGTGCCGAGTCGTTTGGCTGCCTGCTAATTGTGCGCACTGAAAGCATTCGAAAGTTGCCCCCGATTCGTGTTGCAAGCTGAACAAGCTGCGCGCAATTTGTTGCTGAATGCATTTAGGCAACGGCTCAATGTTGCATAAATATCAATGGGGCACAGACACCAAAGGACTACGACTCGTAAATCGCCGTGACAAGCAGCACGTAAAATATTGATAAAAAAAAAATATATATATATATATATATATATATATATATATATATATATATATATATGAACGAGACGTTGAAGAGTTAGCCTTTTCGCTTTTCGTGCGACGCCACAAGAGACAGAAAAGTAATTTAAAGCAAGAAATTCACGCGGCCCGAAAAACTCAAAATTTTGCTGACTTTAGACAGTTTCAGTCTTTGACAAATTACTTCCAGGAAATGAGCAAAGTCGAGTCAAAAAATTAGTTTTGCTCTTTCATAGTCAAACCCAAACGAATTTGAAAGGATTTAACTATTTAAGCTGAACTTTTTTTTTGGTAGATTTGCTTGATAGTTATTCAAAAGCTCATGAATTTCTGCATAAGACTCTAGATTCAATGAACGCTCCACTCAGATAAGTGAGCTATGATGATCTAGGCTGAACTCGGATGTTTGAGTTGTAGAGGTTTGTGCTAAGCTGCTACTCAGAGTGGGTCGATGAACCAGATGAGCTAATGCATTCCATGCTCTACTCAGAGCTCTCACAGCAACTCAAACAGCCAGATCTTTGATATACGTCAATCTATTTTGTATTGATCTCTTCCTTTGAGCATCAAAACGTTAAAGAGAGATCCGTAGCACGGGAGTCTGAGTGAGCTTCAATACAGTGTGCTACACGAATCTCTTCAAAGAGTGATGTCCCGAACTTCAAATACTCATCTAATGGAAACATTCTTCTTCACATAATTAGCTTGATGCTCTCAACTTGCAAATGAAGGGCTCCGTTTGATGTGCCCGTTAATATAATGCTCTTATTTAGACAGTATGTAAATATTGCTGAAATATGAAGGAATGATCTCCATTCATTTATATTTAAATAGATTTTATTTACAGCAACCTTAAATATTATATCAAATTGCAAATGCTCAGATAAGCAAATTTAACTTGATCATTGTTGGCCTGCCATGCTCATCAAATTTATATTATTTATAATATCTGCTCCTATCTGTAGCATATAATATACACATATATAATAGCCTCTTTACATACACATATATATTATAGCTTAAAATTAGTTGATACGCTGCAAAAGTTGAGCTGCCAAAAAGTTGTGGCAAATTGTGTAAATTGCTGAAATTAATTCCAAATTGATGACACCGTGTCAAAGCACAAGCATCAAGTTGTGTGACGTGCTTGGGTTGACAACACATTCCGATCCCCGTCTGCCGCCGCACCACCGCCACCATCTCTGCCCCAAGACCTTGGGAGCCCGTGCCACTTGACCGTCAGCTGCGTCGAGCAGCGGCCCGCTGCAATTTGAAAAGAGTTTTGCTAAAGGGTATGCAAATTTGTCACCATCGCACAAAACGAGCGGACGACACTTTGATCCCACGCTTGAGTGGGAATACAGTTTTCAGAGTTGATAAAAACTGGGTCTACTTCTCTTGCTTCTCCTCCTGCTATCAGATATTTATTATTGCTTCAGCCAGCCTTAGAGCGGCATTCGATAATTTCCTGCCATAGCTCCTATTATACTTATATGTAGATCTACAGGGTATAGGGTATCCATCTTTCTGCTTCTGGCCGTGCACACTTGTTTTTCCAAGATCTCTTTCTGTTCTCTCTTGTGGGCTTAAACACTTTGAATGCTTGAGCTTAAAATATACGAGAGACATGTACACAGGGAAAGACATCTGTGTATGTGTGAGTGAGAGGACAAGGGGATGTCGACTTGATGGCATCCTTCACAATTACAGCAGCCCAGCCCGACGTCGGCGCCGATGTCAGCATTGTTGTACGTGTGGACAATGCTTGTGGCTTGTTGCAGTCACTTGCTTGCTGCATGTGCGGCAAGGCGTGCAGCAGGAAGTCGTCCTCGAATGCTCAGCTCATGTCGCCCGGCTTTATTGTCAAAGTTGTTTTTGCTAGCATTTTCATTGCACAGCACGACTCGCCTTGCACCTCACGCCGCGCGTCCCGCGCCCTCCCGCCAGACACCTCGACTGCGTCGTCTTAAACCATCGGCCCATTCGTCCTCCACTCGTGTTGCATGCAAGGCGACTACTGTGAACTGCTGTGGCTGCCACCGTTGCTCATCTTATGAGTGATTGCTCTTGGTAACGCAGCCGGATGCACGTAGCCGGACTCACTCCGGCTCAACTTCGAAGTATGTGCAGCATGTGTCGATGCGCACGACCGACTGCCAAATGCCAAAAAAAGGGAGCAAAACACAAAATAAAATCGAAAAAGACAAAGCTTGTTTGGCTTTCGACAGGCAAAGAGCCAAATTGATAGATAGCTCAAAATGCAATTAACAAATCCCAGCCGGATTCGTTCTACTGCTGCTCTGTGGCTATTTCGCGCTTCATTAGCTGCACAACAACAACCATGTGAAAATAATAAAAATGTAATAGAATACCCTCAAGCACTGTTGCCCCACCCACCACCTACCACCTCCCACCCACACCCTTTTCATGTAGCCAATTATGCAATTCTGTTTTCCTAGCAAAAAGCTTTCTATTCTTTTGGCGCGTTCTGCCAGCTGCTTGCAATCAATAAATATTACTACAACTGTGCAAATAAACTTTCGCCTGCAGTTCCTTTGTCAATACCCTGTATGGCAAATGCAGAGATTGAGTTGATTAGTTGCCTAAAGAAGTTTGAACAAAATTTTGATGCTGAAACTCTAAGACTATATTGTTGCTTGATATAATATAAGTATGTATATATATCGTATTTCTTACTAAATATTTTGTATGACAATTTTTTACTGAAATATCTAACATACATACCTCATTGAAATTAAACACCTACAATTCCGAATTTCTACTAACATCATCCTTCGTATATATTTTGTGCACTTTCTGAGTAAATTCACACAATTCACAAACTTTCTGAGCACTTGGGAGCTATATATGTACATTTTAAGCTTTTATTGAATAGAAACTGCTTGGCTCTAAATCGAAAGCAACACATCAAAATTACATTTGTCCGCCGCATGGTCGACCAGACATTGATTTGATTCAGTTACTCGCAGTTTCTGTGCGAATCGAGCTACACATATAGCACAATCATAAGAGCTTTGGACACACTCTTCAATGCCGTCCAAATGAATGGAGCAAAGTTTTCGACAGCTCTCACACTACCCTCATCTGTGCGACCTCCTCGCGTTCAATTGGCAAAACTAAGACACGTAATTACTGCAGCGCACTCTATGTCTGATATACCCTGTATTCTAGCAGATGGGCGAAACGATTGATTGACTATTTAACTACTGTTGTGAGGAGTATGCTTATGCAAATATTACTAAAAAGATTATAGTATGGGAAAGGAAAGCAATGAAGCTAATTATTGTTGTAGAATATATTGAAAAATCAATACAAAATTTTTCTATTTTTTATACGCTGAACGCAATCACAGAATTGTGGTTTGAGGCGTATAGAAAAAACAATTCTTATAGAATATATTGAAAGTAAATTAAATTCATTTCTGTAATGATCCATTTAATTAAAATAATAACATGTATAGCAATGATATAGAAATGTTAAAATTTAACGGATAAGGCTGAAAGCTGAAGACAGCTCTATACTGATAAAGCTCAGAATATATAATTTGCTTTAGACAGTTGAATTCATTTCTTCTATTAAAATTTCTGTCTATGCACGATTCGACGATTTGAATAAAAACAGATTAAAATTTAGGCTTTGAAGTCAATTCTTGTGTAATTTCTTCTATCTATGTTTATCCTTGCTCTCATATCTTTTATAACAAACATCTATTAATAATCATGATTCTTATATACAAACCTCGCTTATTGGGCAGAAACTTCGTCTAAATCTTCAATATAGGAAATTCCATTTACCCAGAAATCATTGGATATTCTCTGAACTTCAGTTGCGACTACAATCTAAATGCCATTCATGTCCTTCAACTGTTGTTCATTGTAAATTCTCTCAGCATTGGCTTCTCATGCAGCAGCTAGTCAAGCATCTATTCACCTTGCCACACATTCCTGACCAGCTTTGGGGCAACATCACCTGCTGGGGATTGTAGCCTTTCGCCTTTCGCTTTTGGGTTTTTGGTTTTTGGTTTTTGGTTTCTGCGTTTTTAGTATTTTGGCATTTTGGCCGCAACCGCAGCTCATTTCGTTTTAAATTTAATTAAAGAAAAGTTTTGGCCAACACAGAAGCAGCAGCAGTAGCAGCAGAAGCAGCAGCAGCCGCAGCAGAGGATGTGGCACTGGCAGTGGCAATGGCAACTGCAACTTTTTCAAAGTAATTGTGGTAACTTCTCCCCGGCTTTACTTGGCTGCGAACTTGCAACTTGGCACATTTTCGTGCAGAACTTGAGTCATTTCTGTTGGCCTGCTCCGAAAGTTTATTAGCACAATGAAGTGTTGGACTTGGTAATCTGCGCGTGGCACATACTTTAGCTGGGTGTTAGGCAACATTTTATTCAGTTAATAAATTACAAAGTTAGGCAGCTCTTCTGCAAAACTGTCTTAAATATATGTATGTCTCTGTTTATCCATTCACAGCAAATCACGATTGGCATCCACTCGGGCGAGGTGGTCACCGGCGTCATCGGCAATCGGGTGCCCAGATACTGCCTCTTTGGCAACACGGTCAACCTGACGAGTCGCACCGAGACAACCGGCGTGCCCGGCCGCATCAACATCAGCGAGGACACCTATCGGTGAGTGCCAAAAGACTGTGGAAATACTGTGTAATTAGCTAAGCGGCGGGTGGGTTTGGTCCGATGGTGGGTTCACATCCTGGGCAGCAGCATAGGCCTCAATGGCCGCCTGCTTGGCCTCGCCCATGTTGACGCCTTCGCCTGCGGTGGCCACAAAGGCGGCGACAGCTGCCTTCTCCGCATCGGTGACAGCCTCCAGCAGCTGCACATGATTGTCGCTCTCGTCCTCGCTCTCGGTGCCGCTGCTGATGGTCTCCAGCCGCTGCATGGCGTTTGTCGGCCGCTGCACGGGCTTCTCCGGCGGCAGCAGCTGCGTTCCGTCCAGCTCCTCGGTGAGGTCGATGTAGCGCTGCAGGCGCTTGGGCAGGCGCAGCGTATCGATGCCATTTGGCAGCTGATTATGCTCGCGCAGCACATCCCGAATGCGGCAGCTAGGCGACAGAGTAAAGAAATTTCGTTATATAACTAATATTTGACTTTGACTTTTTGTTAGCTAACTAGCTGACATATCTCTAAGGCAAATCTGTGGAGTATATTCCCGAAATTGGCCGTAAAGCTGGCTGCTTTCAGCAACTTTCTCTTTGGCGCTTCGCATGCCTGTCAATCTCAACCAGCTATTTCATAAATTAATTTAAGTTTCACATAATAAGCTGCTATAACGAAATAAAGTAGAAAGAGCTAAAAAAAAAAAAAATCAGCCAAGAAAAAAAAAACGCGCTCCGAGCGGAGCTCAGCAAAGTTCATGTGCTTAAAACTTTTGTTGTAAGAAAATTTCTATAAACTTTACTTTCGCACAAAGTTGCATTTCTCTTCACTCTCTTTTTTTTGCGGCATTGGAATGAGAAAAGACTAACAGGACTAGCGGATGCTCTATAAAATATTATTCGGGAATTTTTATACAATATTTTTGAGCATTTTTCATATTTCGACTCTAAATAATATAGTCTACATTTATTTATTAACTTAATGCAAACAATATTTGCTTGTTAATTTTGTTGTAGAGTCGAAAGCTGATGCATATATAGTAGAGTATTCTATATTTGGTATGCTCCACAAATACCTTTATTTTCCTTAATATACAATATAAAATTTGTAATATTTTGTTTGCTAACAAGAACAGTATTTTAGACAATTTTTTTTTTAATTCTATTTAAATCTTGAGAGCCGGATAAGCGTTGATTGCAGAGACAGCTACGATCCTTGATTGACTGGATTTTTTGTTAGTTTCATAGTCAAGTGTAGGCAGCCTTGCTCGCTGTGCAGGGTATGCGGAAGCAACTGAGTGAGAGAAGTTCGAGTGGCGGAAATGGTGTGTAGATTTTTCTTGCTTGCCTCTCTTGTTCGCATACTTTTTCACTTTCGCCACTTGATTCGCGCGCAATCAAGCGTCTTTTTTGAGGCATAGTGAAAGCTGCTTTCGAGGCGGGCAAAGGAAACTTACTCAACCTTACTCGAGTGCGTGTGTGTCTGTGTGTGTGTGAGTGTGTGAGTGGGCTTTGCTGAGGCAATTGCGAAATACTCTGTGCGAAATGCAAAAACTTGAACAACAACAAAAATTGGCTTCATAAAACGAGGCGACGCCAGCCTTAGAATATGCTAATCTCTCACTTAAGCTGCCCGCCTCAGTCAGCTGGGAGCAACTTTTTATGTAGCCGTTAATTTGCGTTGTCAACATTATTTACAGCTGTAAATTATGGCCTTCTTTTCTTCCGGCCACATCAATGAAGCGTGTCCCCAAGCGACTGCCGCTAAACGATTACGAAAATGACGAGGCACATGGCGTCGACTGGGACTGGAATGCGTCCTGTGGCCGATACATCACATTAATAAGGCCTTAATTGAACTCAAATAGTCGGTGGGCAGAGTAGTTAAGCTGTCGCAGAGAAATCCATAAATCGCACGTCAAGCGCCAGCCGCAGGCATTGAAATTGAAATCTGTTTCACGAATGCGGTCGCCGCTGCGCGCAATGCAATGCCTGCATATATATTGATTGCTGAATATAATATGTATGTAGAGCACACATAGACTCAATATATATTCACCAGCCATATATGCTAGTCCAGTTGCAAGAGCGCAGTTTCCCAGCACAAACATTGGCCAAGGAAAAATAAACTGGCAAATAGCTGAAGAAAAATGCAAACAGATTGGATATACTTTTCAAAGCGATATGTGCACTAGAGATACCCTGTAATGATACTGGAGTTGATGGTTGTGAAAAAAATATTTTTCCCTTTATAGAACACAATTTGTTTTAGCTTTTTTTTTCATTTTTCATGTAAATGAAAATGCAAACATTTCAGCTAAAATCTGAACAAAATCTAAGCAAAGTCAAATAATATTGCTCTATTATTTATAAGGATATAAAAGTAGATAATAAAATAAAATCACATTCCACCCATTATATTGAAATCTTATTAGCCAGAATTTCAAAAAAAAAAAAAAAAAAAATTTGAGATCTAAAATATAAACAAATTATACAAAGTCCTTCCTGAAACAGTTAGTTCTTTACAATATACTAAACACCCGCTAGCACAACGCCTGGCTTACAGGGTATTTAAGCACACACACACACACAAGTACAAGCCGCCTGTGTGGGTGAGTCAAAGTCGTTGCGATTTTTATGTGACACGTGAGTTGGCAAATGGCAAACATGCGAGGCAAATAGAAAAAAGTTGGGGTCAACGCGTGGCCCCTGGGCCCCTGGCCACAAGCCGCAGCCAAATCGGAGCACAAAGTGGAAAAGCCACAGCAAAGTTCTTTGTAGGCAACTTATCAAATTAGTAAATAGCTTGACAGCTTATCGATTAAAGTGCTGACTGCTAATCAAATTTGTACGAAATTCAATTAAATTTGGCCAACAGCTGTTGACTGAAACACAAGTCGGCCTGAAGCGGCGCCAGAGCTGAGAGCTCGCTAAGGCCTCGAGATTGACATAATAGACAAAGGGAGAGGACGGCGCCTGTCCCCTAAGCCATGTCATTAAAGCGACACAGAGCCCAAGTAAAACAAAGAGCAGCCAAATTTAAGGCCAGTTGGCAGGCGCAACAGCAAAAGAAGAGCGTCAACAAAATGCTTTGTCAAACTGTCTGTCAATCAGACAGGACCAAACGCCGTTGCTGCCGCTGCTGCTGCGACTTTTATACTTATTAAATTTTCCGGGCTTATCGTCGACAGTTGAGTGTGGAGCACCAGCAGCAGCAGCAATCTCAGCCAAAGTAATTGAATAAAAAACAAAGTTGAACTCGACTGCCAAACGTCAGCCTCGGCTGTCGCCTGTCAAGCCCGCCTGACCCAGCAGCCATCCTTTCAGGCCGAGGACTTCAAAGACAAGTGGACAGTAGTAGACATGGCCCCATGCCCCTATGCGGAACAAAGTTCGCTTTCAGCTCCCAGTTGATAATTACCGGCACAAATGTCGCAGCGTCGGCACACCATAGACCTGTTCCTTGCCCACGATTTTGTCCATTAGAAGTCGTCCATAGCGCTCGAAGAACATTTCTCGGCGTGTTCCGTACACCATAGGCTGCAAAGAGAGCAGAGGGGCGACAAGTTAAAAGTGAGCAGGCAGCACAGTTGGCCGATAAATGCACAGAGCTCTGACTGCCCGCATCTGGCCGCATTTCATCTGCCAAACCAAACAAACGGACAAACAACTCCCAGTTCCCAGAAATAGTTTTCTTTTGAGTTTTGGTAACAAAAATTTCTTAACCCTCAACACAGCCAAGAGATGGCCTAAAACTGTATAACATCTCGAATAAAATTAAATTTTGAATTTTTAATTTTATAAATGTATTGAAAATAATATTCTAGATATAAATTATGAATATTTGCATTAAATTATTAATATTTTATATTCATAAGGACCAAAATATTAAAATTAATATTTACTATTTGCATTAATTAATTAATAAATAATTATTATATTGAACTTTCTGATTAAATTATATATTCAATATTATATAAATATCAATATATAATTAATATGTACTATATACATACATACATATATATATGTTTTCAATTTTGAATTTTATATAAATAATATAAATATTATTCCTTATTTAAATTATGACTATTAAATTAAATTATTTATATTAATATTATATAAGTATATATATGTATGTATTTCCACATATGTTGCTTAGTTAAAATCTTTTCGAAATATTGAAGAAACTGTTTCTGGGAATATTCTCAGGGAAGTGAACACAGGACAGAAACGACGAGTGTCAGCTGAATGCTTGTTTGCTACTCACCTTGAAAGGCATTTCAATCATGGGCACATTGCGCATCAGTATCTGGAGACAGAGCACCAGCTCGCAGCTATAATTGCGTCCATTCTCGATGAGTTTGTCGAGCAGCGCAATTATCACGGAGGTGCCGCCGTCAGGTGGCTGTGGTGCGGCGCCGTATCTGAAATGAAAGACGGGTCACGGGCTATGGGTCACGGGTCACAGTTGTGGTTTACGTGCAATGTGCTGGGTGCACGTAGTTGGTTAGCCGGCGCAAATGCTTGCGGTTCTTAACTGTAATTTGTTGACGACGTTGCTCACGCTGCACTAACAGCACTATGCAGGTACAATATAATCGGGGCGGGGCTAGCGGGGCGCATACGGCAGGAAAGGGGCGATAAAGCTTTGAAGCGCTGATAAACAGTATGTGCTAATGAAATAATGAACAGAACACGGTTCGCGGTCATGTAGTCGACGTCCTGTCATATTCACACACACACATACACACACACACACACACATGCGTGTGGTAAATTGCAAATGAAGTGCAAATGTGGCGTGCGGAAGCACCAGAGGCTGTGGCAGCAGCAGCCGCTGCCAGCTGGCAGCAAACGGCAAATGTTTGATGGTGAAGGGCATCAGGGCTCTGTCACATTTTAAATTGAAAATGTTTGTCAAAATGTCTCAGTCGTTGCGTCGACTCTTCTATTTGCATTTCCCTCTGATAAGCTGCGTAATGTATATTTAAGTACTTAGACAGAAAAAGGAAA